GCGTGGAGGAATTTTGTTTTTTTACATGAAGATTTTAGTTTTTGCTGGGTGACTAAATGCAAAATAGGTTAGATCTACTGCCAAGGTCGATTGCATGTCGTTAAACGAAGAAGACGCATCTTTCTGATTGGCTGCTAATTTTAGTAGTAATGTGATGTCATCTGGGATACCCACAGACTATTTTAAGAAGGCCGTGGAGGTAACCAAGGGAGGTACCGCATGATAGAATGACGTGTTTCTGGTATGTTAATTATATATAACATTTCGGAATTCCAGTATTGACACTGCACAAATGTCAACATTTCCTTCATTGAGACCTTGACGGGTTTGAGCTTCCTAATTTTCTTGTTCACTGTGTCTATTGTATTCATTCTTTGAACGTTTCCTCTAGATCTATCGTATAAAAGAGACTATAACTATTCATCATTGGAGTACCGCATCATATCACGTTACCGATATTCCTGGAAAAACATCGCACCAAAGTATCGTGCCATCCTGTTGGCTATATTTACATATAGTCGCATGATCGGAGGGGTATTCCGGTATGACGTCACACAAAATGGCCGCCTTACCTAAAAATAGTTTGCGTCCTTCTTCGTTTAATGGCATGTTAGGTCGATCAGTCTTGTTTACTCGCAGTACCTTTTGAAGGTATTTTCAAATGAAGTATTGTCCGGGAACGTTTCCCCAACCACAACTGAAGTTGAATGTTCAGATATTTAAAAATCTGTAGCTCTAGAAATTGAATTCGATGAAAATAATGCTCATTTCCAGTCCTCACAGAATGGCAGAATGAAAGATGACGCCTAAATCTTGCAAATAACCCAAAAATCTCGAGAACGGAAACTGTTCGGAGAAATATAGTTCTAGTTTATTTTCCCGAATGTTCTGAGAAATAGTCACTTTGTTAAAACAAGGCCACCTCTATTTAAGAATTTTCACACCTCTCAACTGCTATCCTGTCTGATAATGACATACGTCAGTTTTACTTATCCTATTACCACCTGAGCTTGCCTTTCATAGGACCACTGTTTGACCTATTAAAAACAGAAACGTTTGAACATCTACTTTGCTTCCACCCTTAGCCCCACCCACTGCCATCACTGTAACAACGATTCGAAGATCTCTTTTCTCGGCTGGCCGTACGATCAGGGCGGCAAGCATTGGTCAATCTAATTTCTCACCTCTGGCTTTTGGCTACCCAGGAAAGTTTCTGTAGTGGCTCGCTACTCTATCACTCTTCCAGGCAGTCGTGAGATTTCACACCCAGACTACACTGACCGTGTGCATCGCTCAGAGCTCACATGATGGGGTAACATCTACCCCCAAATTGCACCCCTACTCCCCTTTCTCGCCCTGCGATATGGCCATTGCGTTAAGTTTAGAGCCGGAGGAACCAAACTTGCGAGTTTTGTTTTAAATCAGGGCTGAGCGGGCAAAGCATTTTCCGTCTTG